AAGCTCTTGGCAGACACGACGCAGGTAGTCGTGCGCAGACGAGGAAGCTCTTGCAGACATGACGCAGGTGTGCGCGCAGGCGACGCAGGTGTGCGCGCAGGCGACGCAGGTGTGCGCGCAGGCGACGCAGGTTTGTCCTTGTCGGCCACGGTAGATATGTTCGCACGTACAATCGATTGACGTCATAACTGAGAATTACTGAAGCAGCTCGCGCATACGTGGTGAAAAATCAAGTCGAAGGAGACCGTCAACATCAATTCACTTACTGAACATCCCCCCCAATACAATGTGAAGGACTTTGTTAGCGCCATTAGCTAGCATGTGTACAAAAATGTTCTGCTGTGCTCTCTGACAAAAGAAGAAAGAAGGCAGAAGAAGCGCCTTTGTTATTACTCTTTACAGGATTCCTATTTGTAGCTGAAAGGCCAAATAAGTACCTAATACGTCTATAACGTTATATAAAAATAGCATCGCGTCATGTCCACCATGCATGTAGAATTACATGTTTGTAACGGTATATATGGAATCATGTAATCTGTATGTTATATTTTGTCTGACTCCTCCCTCATAACCTCAATAATAAGCGTCCACGAATAAACTTCGCCACAACAGAAGTTTCCAAAGTCGATTCTATATTTACTCGATCAGAGTTCATACCACCAGTATAGTTTGGAAATCGTTACAATCGATATTTTTTTGCTTATAAACTGGATAACTAAACAAACTTATGAATGCATTTTCTGTGTTTGTTGATAGCTAGATCTAGGTCTTGGCTCGCGAAATAGTGATGAAACTTTCCGGGAGCTGGTCCAATTCCATTGGATGCTAAAAGGGCGCCCAGTACTCTCTGGTTACTTTCGACATTTCCTATACCAAAACATACCCTTACTGATATAGATGTTGGGGTCTGGTAGCCGAAATTGATTATTAACTGAGTATAGTCATCAGAACACATAGCTATCCAGGATGGCATCTAGAGAGTTTATAATTATCACAGGGCCACAGAATTAAAATTTGAATAGCCACCATGCACCTTTCGACGAAGGTAATGACCAAGACAAACTTGTTGTGTGACTTGCATGCTCGTCAAAGCGTCTCTGACTCTCTGGTGATACTAGAACTAGTAGTTTGCCACTTTGTTTAAAAAGTTCCGGAACATCTATCAGAGACCACCATGGTGTGTAAGCGCAAGTGTAAACCGTCCAAAGTTACTGTTGTACACAAAAGCGACATCGCCAAAACACACATGCCGTCACGAGTACGGAGACTAGGCATGCTAGTGTTTATCAGGTGCCCGTGTAGGGACAGCTATGTCGTCTTACCATATTCGATATGCATGACGTGTCCCAAGTTCCGTAACTGCAACAGAGGATCGGCGATATATAAACATGTTGCCTATCCAGGACACCGTCTCCGGTGCTGACTGAGCGTGTGTGAATGAATGGCATCGTCCTAATGTGAATGGCATAGTCCGAAGCCTATCAACACCGTGGATTTGAGCAAGTTTGATTCTGGAATCAACGCGTCGTACTACAAATAAGCCAAATTCTGAATGAGGAAGGCTTTTTGTACTACTTCGATTCCGCCTCTCTTGGTTACCTAGTACCTACCTAATCAGCTCGTTAATCAGCCCGAGCTCCTGACAGCTTCGGACGTCAGTTCTAGACTAAAATCGCTAGACGAAAGCACCGGCCTCAACTTGGGGTCACGGGTTGCTATGTTGATACTATGTACATGAAGTTCTGACGTAGAGCAGCAAACCATATATCCGTTGTCTTCGTTTTTTTATCGATCTTTAGTGTACTGCAGTCGACGCGTTTGCCTCTGACGGCATGTAGTACTGGAAGATTGCGATTGTACTGCGTAGCTGACACTAAAGGCACCTCTGTAGTAACATGTAGGCCGATCCAGAGAAACCCTGCGACTTACGATAGACCACTAAAGACGGTTCGAGGTCGTTGCCGTCGCATCCAATTGACCCCGAAGTATCACAGAGATAGAGGAGACAAGGGAGAAGGCCGGTAAAAAACGGGCGGAGAGGATGTCCCCATCTGGACGGCACACTCGCCGTGGCACCATCTGGCTCCGGTCACGAGAAGAGTGGGCATGTCTGTGGTGCGGGCTCCCGTGACGTCATTGACAAAGTGTGACGCACACCACTGCCTGATGGAATGTTTTCAATACAATCGTGACACGGATTCCTGCCACCAAACCGCGAACGGTCCGCTTCAAGAACATGAAGTAGCAGGATTCTAGTCTGTTTAGTTTATTTACAGGATTGTCTTCATGACATTGTCAAATCCAAACGTTTTCACTGGGAAAACATTGAATGCCACCTGTCTTTACAGTATAAAGAACTGACATTACTCAATACTTAGTATTTAAAAAAGGGGGCCCAAACGACTGTAGTTAATCGATTGAAACGGCTTTGTTACTGTTCGAAAAACAAACTTTATCGTCTTACTTGCTAAGCACTAAATTCCAATCGAAAAGTACAATAGTTTGCCTGAGGTTGAGCACGAGGGTACAGGTCTTCAACACACACAAAAAAGGAACAATGAAATGTAACAAAAAGGAACGAAAAGCGCTGGAAAAATCTCTGTAAAAAAAACTCAAAACTGAGGGTGACCGTGGATTCAACTTTACTAAATTTGCAAGTTTGTTTACTGAGTTGTGAAGTGACTGATGAGTTGGATATAATATTCTCCTGTATTTCTCAGTTATTTTCATCGTGGCTGTTTTGATCTTTGCACGAACCACAGACAGGGACATACAGATGTTGTCGGGTGTTTATTTGTTGAGACCAACCGACCAGTGCAACAAAATAGCCACCGGCGCCATCACTTTGAAATACTGTACACCCAAACCGGAACGTTGCCACTTTGATATATGACCACATGGTCTGAAAGCAACAACGCGAAAAGAAATATAACCCATTTAGCCCTTCCGAGTTCGCAATAGAGATTAACCCCAATATACGTATATGTAGGGGGTATAAACATTGATGACATTTTGTAGACGGCAGGGACACCAGACAGATGGAAACAGGTGCAGTATAGGATTCAACAGTCTGAAAGTTCAGTTTTATATGCGAGGACAACAGTGACATGAAATGCCGCAAGTTTGAAAGTCATTCAAGTTGAGTTTTTTCAGTTGAGTCATTCAAGTTGAGTTGAGTGAAGACCTTCCAAGGGAATTCCTTGGGACATGTAAAAAAAAGCGGTTGTTACAAGTCTTTGTACTAATAACGTGGTTAGATCACTACACTTCGCAGATTATTTATCGCAGAATTATAAACGCTTAAATTCAAAAAGATAAATGACTGAAAATATACTGCTGTTGAAACAATCATAAAGCCACGTATCTTTCAGATTTTGTTGTTAAACAAGTTTCAGCTGTTGAAGTTGGATGTCTGGAGTGCTTTTTGTCCCGTCACTACCCCGTGAGGTGGATAAAGAATTAATGCCACCGTATATACGTGACAACATGGGTGGACTTAGCATGAAAGTTCATCTGAGTTGGTAAATTACATTAAAAGTCCACGTCTATAATGGGTGGACTTAGTAGCGTATGAAAATACCGCTATATATAAGCATAGTGTTTGGAGTTGCCATCGGTCTGTCTGTAAAGAAAAGTTTAGATAACTGCTGACAACTACGTGTAATTAATAAGATGATTACTTACTCTGGTAATGCATGTATACTGAAGATTGCCAAAACAAGAGGCGCTTTCCTTTTCTGAGAAGGAAGCATTAGCTTATCAAGGAGTAAAAAAATCTTCAAAAAGAGCCATATCGTGTCAACAGGAACTTTCAATATTCATTTTACATCGGCCCATGGCATGAGGCACAGCACCACAATGATAAAACATTAAGACCCTGGGCACGCTTACGGTACGATTCACTCTGAACAAGTAGCTTCAAATAGATTTTTGAAGTTCCCTGCTCTGAACTTACAACACGTCAGGGCACCAATACGGCGGAACCTACTAGTACTGACGTCACCATAAGTTTTCAAATAAGCGCTACCAAAGAAGACGTAGTCTTAAAGTGAGTGGATTCGAAGAGAAAGTCGTCGCATTTTTCCTATCCTAGGTTGTCATTATGAGGGAGACAGGTGCGGAAGTTGACCGAGTCATTCAGAGGAAGTCACGGTCTTCCCTCCGACTACGTCTGTTTGGGTCATCGGCGAGGATCTAGTACTTTTCCTTGCGGTCTTCATATCGGAACTGTCAGGAAACCACCGCTTGTACCGGTTCCTCATCAGCACGAGTCGTGAGAGGATTAACGTAGCACTGACGTCTGAAAATCCCCGAAGACCGACCAAATAAACAGCTTTCTATCTCAGGTCACCGGCACTGACAAATGAAAAGTAACAGATATTCTGGCCGACTTGGAATTGTGCTACCACACTTCAGCGTGGAGAACTAAGGTATTTTGCTGGTTGATTCAGAGTGTCTCTTACAAAACAAAAACTTTTTAAGTCGCTCTCCGCTGTTTCTTAAACCAAGACAGGAAATAACGGGGAAGCTATTTGCGTCAAACGAAAATCTGGGCATACGGATAGGAAATTAATTATTCTGCTGAGACTATAAAGGCAAGTGATCCACTTAATTCTTCTGCAACTTTTCTTTTTTATTTCACGCGACATGTAAAATAATTGAGTAGGAAATGATTCAGACGATATACAAATTGTAACAATTTACCTGAATACTACCGGCGTGATGGCAGAAAATTTAGTTTTACCTGAATAACTCATTCAGTCATTGACGCATCCGACTTCTTCCGTTTACCGGCCTATGTTGACTCAGTGATAGAACCTCCCTGGTGTCATCTGGAAGAACAAAAGTTCGGGAGCGATGTTTACTGGATAGTACACGCAAGTTTGTGTTGTGGGTTACAAGATTTTGTTTGACTTGCACCTTGAGAAAAGACCGTGGCCGTCTCAGCCTCTCATTCCACTCCTCACGTTGTCCAACTCGGGTTCCATAAATAGCCGACGGCACTGACGTCAGAGGGTCACGTGACGCCCAGCCCAACTGTACTCGGATGTACAGTGGAGAGAAAACCAGACGATAAGGCCATCTGTGACCGTCTTTCCTGCTTGTTTGGGACATCGAACGGACTGTTGTCGTGAGAAAATAGTGGACAGAAGTATGACAGTGGTTTTCCCCAGAAAGGTGTTCGAGTGAGCGGCGAAGGGGTCGCGCATTCGACTCCGCTGATCGGGGTGGGTGCTGCCGTGCAATAACAACACACGCAAAATGGCGAACGCTTCAGAACCGGGAAACGCGACTAGCAACAGTGGCGGCCCGAAGACGGGATTTACCGTCGCTGCTGGGACGAGATACGCCTTACTCCACGAGGGAGATGTCCAGATTTGCTGGCTAAACCATACGCGGACATTGGTCAGCAAGATTTTAAGCTCAAAATACTTACGGAGATGGGAACAGCATCATGTGGTACTGGACCAGGGCGAGATCCGGTCTGCCTCGGTAAGTACCAACCTTCGCTTCTCTGTCGATTTTTCCGAAACAATGTTTCTCCCTCCCTACCATACTTACCACCACCACCAGAACGTGCCATACCCTCTTTATTTAACCCTAAACCGGTGCCATTATTTTCTGAGGAGCGGTTTTTTTCCTTCTGGTATCGCGACGGATGTGGGGTGTATGTGGGAGATGGAAGTGCAGAGATGGTGGAGGAGGAAGGCTGGTTGAGAGATGCAGAGTAGCACAGGCGGCATTTTGGAGGAGAGGGCAACACTAGAGATGTAGGGGGGAGAACTCACAACACTCTTTTATTTTGCCCTTTTCCAAAGGTTTGCTTCAGGACCAAAAACTGGACCCAAAAACAGTGTGATATTTATAACCTGGCCTTAGGATGTTCCTGTCTTGAAGGAAAACATGTCCCTGTTTGTTGGCATTGCCTTGGGTGAAGCACTCAGATGTGTAATCACCACCCCAACCTCGCAGCGTTTGTCAGTCGTAATTGTCATAGGGTGGCGAAGTCCAATGTACCGAAACCACAGCATTTCTCATAAACCAGCCGTTAACAGCACTCGGTGGAAATTTTCATTACAAATCATGTTTGCTGTTACCAATTAAAAGCCATATTTTGAATTCCCATGGATATGTTTTATATATGATGGGAAATAAGAATGACCCTGTTCAGAGATTTGTCCAGTAGTATAAATGTCCTCAAAATGGTGTTATTTGTTAAGTGATGTTTAATGATGTATCAATGGTGCAATTATGGTTTACAACTTCATGATGTAATGGTATTCAGTGAATGTGGACTGTTTCATACAGTATGGATATCAGACATAACAAGTCTGATATTGGTGTACAAGTTACATGTATATATAGAGGTCATGCAGATATTTTGAGAGTGTTTCTCAATGTTTTGGAAGTTGTAATATGAAATAATTGTATCTGCTAGTACCAGAAGCCTTTGGGGCTGGTGGAAAATGCATGGTGCTTTAAATTGGGGAAAATGTCTCCTGCTCCTTGATGTAACTGGATTATGTAAATCCAAGAGATAACTCAGTATTTATCACAATGAGCTTGTTTCTGGTGGAAGGAAGGCTGGAATATGATGACAACATGGTTGAGCTTTGCTATTTTTGTTAAGCCTTGGACATGTGTTTGTTTACAGACCAGATATCAAGAAGACTGATATCAATGGCCAAGTTAAGCTTTTTATCTGTCGACCTTCTACAAACCTTGCTATTCTTGTAAACTTAACATGTGGGTGCTGTAGTCTGGCAGATGCACATCTGTTAGTTATTCTCTATCAATCCTAACTGCATGCAATCTTACTTCAATCTACTAAGTAGTACCCATATGAAATACTTGAATTAAACACAATTGAATAGGGTCTGGCATAGCTATAATTTGTTCAAATTGATCTCCAAATAGGGTTATAAAGTATTTTAAAACAATAGGCCACCAGAAGTTTGCATTGGTGTCCTTCTATCATTTCTTTTCACAAATTGGTACAGTACACCTTTCCCTTTAATGTTTAAATGGATTGGGGCTGTATTCTGTTACATGTCTGTAGTCACATGACTTTGAATTAGGTGATCACAAAGGATGGCAGAATGGCAACGTACAGTAGTCAAAGTTAGTTACTCAGTCTCTTGTTAATTGTTATCCAAGTTTAAGTGCCCAAACAAGACAAACAGGCAGGTTTTACTTTTAAACCAATTGATAAATGCTAGCTTTTGATTTGAATTGATCCAGCTCTGAAATGTGATATTCTGTAGGGGATAATCTAATCATTTTGGATGGCCACCTTTGATTTGAAATCTCTGGTAGTTTGTTTGTATCCCCTCAACAAAGGCATACAATTTTCATAAAATATCTTCAAAAATTAGGTATATCAACCTTATACTTATACACATCAAATTTAAGTCTCTTGTGTCCCTCCTTGGTGTTTTTTATGGGTGCCTCATGCATAATATTGCCACCATAAGTAAAGAGCTTTAATATATTTGTAATGGATTGTGGACTTTGGGTATGGCTGACTTAGACCCTGTTCATACCAGACTTTTATTTAGCGGTTTCAACTGGTTTAAAAAAAAATGGTTTTTATTTAGCCTAGTGTGAATGCAAATCAGTTTTTTAGCAGATTAAATCCGATGTTTAAAAGCCATCTCGTGAGCTGTACCGAAACAGAAATGTTTTACTTTACCTGGAAATTTCAGTCAAGTTGGGGGAGCATGGTTTCTCGAATATAACGGAGCAGTGCCACAGTAAGATAAAGAATCTGAAGATGACATACAAGAAGGCCAAGGACAACAATGGGAAGAGTGGGAGGAACGGTTATTCAAATTACAATCATGGCCAATTAATTGGATATTCAACGGACAGTATTTTTACAAAACCAGTTATGTCAAGTCTGGTATGAATTCTAGAGGTTTTAGCCGGATTTTCCCTCAGCGGTTTCAACTGGTTTTTGAAAGTCTGGTATGAACGGGATCTTATTCACCCAGATGTTTTTGTAAGCTCTACCCTTCCAATCAGTTTACAATGTATTTTAAAAACAGCACATTCATACACAAATTCTTAATCATCTGGTTACTTTTGGAGGAACTCTTGAAGGAAGGAATGAAATGAGGTGTTGAAGAAATGCAGCAAAGGCCTTTTGTGTTAGCTATGTCGAGTACGTGTCTTCCCCTAAATGTCCATGGCATTAGCTGAATTTCAAGTATGATTCTACATATGTTATATTGTAAATATAAGGTAGGGATAGAAATTTGATATATGTGTGCTCCTCCTTTTATGGTACTGTTATTTTATCAGGAATCCCTCCATTGAAATTCTTCCAGCTGTTTTCAAGAATGAACGTGATGTGTACAAAACTTTTGAAGTTGTCAGCTATATTTTTGCTACAGATTTCCTGAACATAATATCTTTTCCATCTAAAGTATATGACCATATGCAGTATTCAATTACTATGTTAATACAAGAATCTTTTGTACTAGCAAACATTTGTAGAAATGTTAAGTGGCTAAGCAAGGTTGGATAAGAACAGTTTCTTTGATTTTGTCCAGATAATTGTTTTCTACTTCAGTTTCCAATTTTAATCTTTAAAAGTTTTCCAAATATGTAAACAGAAAAATAAAGATCACTGTGTTGCGCGGTAGTCTTCTTTTTGAAACTAGGAATATGGGATGTAAATACATGTATATGCTACTTTGCTAGATCTGAACATGCACAATATTTACATGTAGTCAAATTAGGAAGCAATTTTAATCCATGGCATTGATAAACTTAAGACATAATATGTGTCGTACACATGTATTGTATGTTGAATGTTTGCATTGTACTTGTTCTTGATGGCTTTTGATTTTGTATTGCTCTGTAGAGGCAAGTAACCTTAGTAACCAACAAATTTCACCTCAATCCCAGATTTATGTCTGTATTTTGGGGCTCATGTTAATCGCAGGCTGTTATATAAAGCATTGAATATGCAGATGTTAGGTCCTTGGATTTGTCAGAGTCTGTGTTGCACTTAAAATCTTGGCCCAGTGCCTGTCCTGACATGTCTTGTACATTCCCTAAATTTTTATCAATGGTCAGCCCTTCTGTACAAAAAAATGAAAGGTTGCTTGGCTCAGCCTACAAATTTTCAGACTCTAATTATCAGGAGATTGAACATTAGTTTTAGCCCGGATGCTCAAAGTACATTTGGCCCAAACATTAAGTTTACACTTTCAGCTGGTCGTGACTGTTGTGTTCACCTGTGAGTCTGTGACCGCATGTTGACATTACCAGTTATAGTTTAACTGTTATACAAAGACTTAAACTAAGTCTGGGGTTGGTCAGTCACTGGGAAATAATGATTATGGAGTAAGACTAAGTAAGATGCTTGGATGTTGTTCTTACCAAAGCCATTGTAAGATTTTAGTTATATGCTTCCATGGAAAATCTTACCCTCCTCTCATTTTACCAGTATGCATATGTAAACATAATTAGCAATAGTATATACGTATTATATATGCATTATGTAACAATGATGTTAGATCATTTATCTTAATTTCCCTGTGACAAAAATTTGATTTGTATTGAGCCGCATGTACCGTACTTAGAGTTAGTCAATGAAATATTGAAGGGCTAAGAGAAGTTTGATAAGAATATTTTGACACGTAAAAATGAGACTAATTTCATGTTGCCAATGGAAATTGGTCATGTAACTTGTAAGGTCAACATTTCTTCATCACCTGATGGCCACAGTTTATACATAGATCTGAAAAATGGTTGTTTTACTATTTGGAGGAATTGTTACCGGAAGGACATTTTAATTACACAGTACAAGGTCTTTCTACTTGTGTCCATTAGTTGAGAACCTACCCAAAAGTAGGAAAGGGGTAACATACTTCAGCTATGTCAGGTTTTCCATTTAGATTTTCAGCTTATGCTGCCAGGTTGACCCAAATTGGAAGCATGACCTTTTTAGGGTGAAAATATGCATATGTTTTGTCAGAAGCAAGGTTAGTATCTGATTGTTGAGATAGTGGGCTCCAGTACATGCTTTTTGTATTGAACATATTTTGAATTTTTTCTTGGAGTGAAAATGAATTGTGCTGAAAATTGCTAGAATTTATGAAGTCAGTGTTAGAAGATCAGAAATTAAGATCGGTGCTTGTAGTGAACGTGCGTCAGTGAGATGCTCGTAAATAGGAGATTGGCAGCAACAAATTACAACAAAGCTACCCTGTTCAGGTTCGCTGTGCAAGGGGTGTCCTCAGACGCACAAAATAACGACAGGCAAACACATCATTAGGGAACGCAAACATAATCATGATGGTTATCAGCACCAATGAAAGGTCATTACAATCTAGGAAGAATGTTGTGACGTAGGTACAGACACTCAGTAGAAAGACTAAGCTTTGTTTTTCTTGGCGCCAGCACCTTCGTGTGACCGCAGGTAAAATATGCTTCCTCTCAACACCACCCCAAGCACACGATTCTACTTTCTTTTAATTTTGTGAGGAAATATGACCAAGGGAAAACTTGTATCAACGAAAACTAGACAACTTTGCCTAAAGATTGGTAGGATTGGTGAAAATTCTGAGATTTTCAGGAATTGTTCATTAAAACTGTATTTAACAAGGTTTATTTGCAATGCAAATACAAACTGACAGGAGTGTGAATCATTACTGTTCATTCAGTTGTAATACTAGCTCTTGATCTTCAGATGATACTAGTAATGAATCAGACCCCTGTAAAACTAACCTTGTAATTTAATGGGGCTTGATACCGGACCATGAAAGTAGTGAATTTGAACAGAATTCAAATCTGATAGTGATAGGGCAAAGTTATAAACAATTAGACTGTGTAGCTAAGGTTTAATTGGGTGGACAACAGCAATTATTTAAATAATTATATGATGATTTCTTTATTAGAAGTATAGTAATGTTGCTTTAATACTTTATGATAAAAGGGTAAATGTAGAACCTCATTCCTAAGAAACCTCAAAAGCACTTAACTCTCCATGATAGCTGATGTGGTAAAAAAAATAATTCATTACAAATGATCAAAGAAGTAGACTGTAGGCAAATGTCTCTGATTTTTGGAATGGTTTCAACCATTTCAACTTATGAAATATGAAAACCTGCTTTTATTATGTATTTCACCGCCTAGAGAGGGAAATAATACTGTAATTTAGTGTAAATCGTGAAACATTTGCAGTCACCACTCCACCACGAATTCATGACATTGCGAATATGTCTTCCTTGTATTGACTCCAGAATTGGTTCAGCCACAAATTTAAAACACTGTGAAAACCTCGCTAATTAATAAGGCTCCCTTTCACTTCTACCATGAAATAAAACCATTTACAGTATAGTCTTTATGTGTCTCTGTGTGAATGTCTGTGTTTGTGTGTTTCTGAACTACATGAAAGACGTGAAATGTGTTATCACTGATTGCTGTATATGTTGTTGTTTCTTCCAGCCATGTGGCGTAATGGAGTCACCCATCTTATACAGCGCAATTGAGGACATGGGCAAATGGGACACAGGGCAGAAGTTCTGCCTCAGAATTACCGTGGGAGATGGATCCATGTTGCTACAGGTACCACACAGCATCCATTTTTAGTAGTGATTTGAGCAGTGGTCATTTTGGTAGTTATGTGCCATTTTGTCATGTACCTTTTTTTCATAACACAATAAAATGTTGTGGGGATAGGCATAAGGGATGGGTATACATGTAAAGGCACCCCTAAATCAGTAAAAGGTACAAAATGTCTGCACCAGTGCCTTAATATAGGAGCAACATAGACTTGACAGTGTAGTGAACTATTCTTAAAGAGAACCATTGATGATATTCTGTACTAGTATGATATGACGCTTTCACCACTTGATCATTGTTCAATACACATTTCAGGCTGGAAATGCCTACCTGAGAGACCAGTGGTTGTATTCCATCAAATGGAAGGTAAGTAAACAGAAAAACAAACATTTTATCCTTAACAGTAAAATTTTACGTAGGTTTGGTTTGGTTTGAGAAAAGCAAAAATAACTCGCCTCAGAATGTATGTTTAACTAGTGTCAAGGGAGAGTTGTATTTTTGGCGGCAGTGATGTTTGCAGTTTGTCATGTGAAGATTGCTGACGTCAGCTACTGTACTTGTGCATGGAGATAAGTACTGACTGCAGAATTTCATGTGTGAACAAGGAGGGCTACTTTAGCAGTACGTTAGTATAAATCAAAGAAATAACAGATGAAAGCCCTTGAGGACACCGTACTTAGGGACATTGTTTGACCAAATCTCCAGTCCATCAGCGGCCATGTTTGCAGAGTGATGCAGGAGAGCGGAAGGCAGACCTGTGAAAGCTCTGTCGTAGTTATTGCTTTTTGTTGCCAGTGTTGACAAAGCTCTTTATACGAGGAAGACTTATTGGGGAACAAGTGAAGTGTGTACATCTTTGTTAAGGTTCAGTTGTTAGTGTCTAAAATTAGTTCTGAACTGTGTGTCCAAACCATGTAAACTCTGAGGGGTCAAGTTGGTTTGGAATCAGTATTACATCATTCTTCTGCTCTCATTATACCAAGACTTGTGCAATACCACATGGAATTTCACTGGTTTGCTTCTGGGAAAAGAACTGATATGAATTTCTGGATGTTACAATCAATTATCATATAGCCGGACGGCGCGGACCAATCAGAGGCCCGGATACCCGTGCTGTTATTTCCCGATAACAGCACATGTGGTGTTATGGCGGAATAACAGCACATGTCGTGTTATGGCTGATACCATTATGTTATAGGGTATAGGGGCATGCGACTCTTTCTGTAAACCTTTGTAGCATTTTTCTGTCCAATAAACTTTTTTGTTTAGCTTCATTTAAACTACAATTTGCATTAAATGAAATTATCCATATTTGTTTTAAAGCGTATAATATATTCGAATGTATTTTTATGTATGTATATATATTAAAGCTGTTGTATTTCAAACAGGAATTGTGTTGATTGACAGTTTGGATAGGCTATATGATAATAATTTTAATGCACTGCCTTTTCCTCGTTGTATATGGTGTCATAACTGCATGGGCAGCTGCCATAACCACCTCATAAACCACCTCGTTCGCTTCGCTCACACGGTGGTTTATTCGGTGGTTATGGCAGCTGCTCATGCAGTTATGACACCATATACAACTCGGGGCAGTGCATTAACCCTTTATTGTTATACTTCTGATCCAGCAAACCCATCGAAACATCCATAGAGTAGGGATGGAGAGTTACATAATTAACATATGAAAATAAACAAAGAGTTTCCTGTGGTTACAGATGTGCCTGATGATTACAACCATCAGGGCTCTGTGGTTGGACCGCTTCCTGTTCATGAACTTTGCGCCTAGTCCCCACCTAAGAGCTAAAAAAAACAAGATTTAAAATATTGAAAACCCCTTTTTTTTGGGAGGATTTGAATTTTCAGCAGTTTTGTGGTGGCTCAGGCAAGACAGACTTTATGCTTGTTGAATTACCATATTAAAAAATACCTTTCTTTACCTTGGGGTTACCAGCACCCCCATGAGATAGTGGAATGATTGTTAGCTGGCTTCTTGAAGGCTAAAGGACCAATCCAAGTGTTCATTTGGGGGGGGGGGATTATTTGCTGAATGACCATATAGTATTTGTATAGAATTTGTTGAAATTGCAGTTGAGATAATAGGTTAGTACTTGAGGGTAAGTTTTCAGGATCTGATGTTTTGAACCCTGAGGTAATGCCACATTTTTGACCATTTCCTCCAGGATTGCATGCATTACTGGCTTGTACCAGTCTGGTATCACCCCATGGGCCTTTAGTCTTATCCCAGAATGCATTGCTGACATGTTGCCATTTCTTGCAGAGAGCTGTGCATCGGTACAGAAGAATACTGACCAATAACCAGCGGCCTGAGGTGCTTATGAAAGAAATTAAAGTAAGTAATGCCTTTGAATCATGCAGTTTGTGTATGTTAACATGTACTATGTGAATCTGTACAATGATATTCAAGTCATAATGTAGAAATCTTGTTGAAAGTTGTATAATTTCATGAAATCATTGCATGATTGAAAGTCTACTGTCAGTCTTGTAGAGGTAGTCTTCACAATAGGTAACCATGAAGGGTAAGTTTTTGAGGTAAGCCACAGCTGTGCACCCTACCAGTGTTTGCTCTTGATTTATTGGCTACTGCAAATCGTATGAAGCGCATGCAGAACTTCTGAGAAACCTTTACGTAAGAGAGTCGTGAGCGGCGTGTGTTGTTAGCAGCTGGATGATGACTGTCTGTTTGAGCTGACATGAACAGCATGCCCGCTGAAGGGTTCTTTTCACTCAAGTTCTGAGAAAGACAGTCTGAAGCATTATTTCCAAAGAGCAAAGATGAAAACAGGGTCTTTTATCCCTCAGTAAATCATATTTTTCTGCAGAGGATTTTGAAATGATTGTATCTTGAAAGAGCAGATGTGTCTTTCCCTTTCATTCCTTAGAGAAATGAAACAACCTTGACCATGATGGCAATATCACATGACCAAATTCATACTGGTTCACATCACACTTACATACACTTAAGGTAACCACAATGTTAAAGAACCTTATCAAAGAGTAGTTGCCTTTACTGGTGTGAGTGTCTCGGGGTTGATATTTTGAAAAGGTTACCAGCATGTCATGTTTTCAAAAAGTCACCAGTTATGTCAAACCTTCCACAAATATTGTTCATCTTGATAAATAGATAATTATGCAGACATCATCCACAAGCCATCCTCCTGAACTTCTATTGCCTGCTGTTGGTCATGAAATTTTTCTTAACAGGTTTCCCTATCTTGGGGATACACACTGTAGTGGAATAGACCCTAGGAATCTCTAGTATATGTCACACTGACTACGGCACTTTGACCCAGTTGCATATACTAACTGCACATCTGTAAAATACATACCTGCCCCAAAAATCAATGCGGTGCCATTCAGTCTGCACTTCTACTTGAATGGAGTGCGACCTACGGGATTACCAGGAGATGGGCTATCTGCAGAAGTGCACATCATGACCTAAATACATCCTCTTAACCAAGCAAAATGGATCGGGAGGCAAGAGGAAAGCCAACAGGGACTCCTAAAGGACATGCTTGACTAAATCCACATCCTTTCCATTTTTCTTGCCGACTGAAAATAGAAATTGCAGTCCGTGGATTGAATGGAAGAATGATTTTTTGAAAATGTTCTGGAAGGTGTGAATCTACGGTGTATTTTTAGAATTAAAATTTAGGTTTAGCTTGTACAGTAGGATGCTCTTAGCAGACAACTGATTGGCATAAAATGTCATAATCAGTACATGAAGATGTCAAATATAACTCTGAAAAGTGCTAACCAGATGATATGAAATTCAGATACAGTCACTAACGTCCTTGACAATGTACTTATTGATTTTTGGGAGATGGATTATTTCTCCCACTCTAGTCCCATCTTGGTTGTGTCCCTGTTGCCAAATTTGCATGATGTACTTGACATTATAGCAAGGTCAGAGTTGATTGAAACAAGTTATGGGGAAAACATGTGGTAACCATGTTGTTAGAACTGATTCTCTTGTCTGGGCTTTAGGTAGGCATGCCAACTGGAAAGTTTGTCCCATTTTTCAATCCAGAATGTTCCTCAGCTTTTGTATGACCTTCTCAGTCATGACCAGACTGAAAAGCAACCTGCAAGTTCAAGCAAATAAAGCAAAAAAACTGTAACATGGAGTCATTAGCTTTTTCTTTTTCTGTCATAATGCTGTCATATTGGTGTTAAATGGTGCCTCTAAGAGTACTGGAAAAATGATTTAAATAGTTTCAGTTAAGACTGGCATTGACACTGACCTTAAACAAGTACCTTCTTCCTGTTCTGCAGTCCCTGATAGACATGTCACTGAAAACGCAGCTGCAGGATGACAGTATTCATCAAGTGCCTTTGGAGATTTTCTCACAGCTCTTGGTAAAGGTAAGTACTGTACCACCATTAGATCTGGAATTGAAGGCTATAGTTAGATAAAGCAAGGACTCATAAAAGTACTTTCGCAGTTTTCAATGACAAACATTCTTCTCCACTCTGTCACAAGGGTTTTTTCCCTCAAAATATATACCAGGAAAACGGGGTTTACCAGCTCAGACTCAACAACTCAACTGGTGAAATAAAAAAAACTTGACCAAAGCAGGAAACTATAGACTCTACCTGTCCCTTTTAGCCCAAAAGTCTCCAAACAGGACCAAAATTTTCAAGAGAAAAAAGGATTTTCAAAGATAACAACTAGGGACTACAATTGTGTTCCCATTTTGGCCCTTTGCTGTGAAACACAATTCTAGTGATGTCAGCCCTACTTGAATACTCTACATATTCATCTGTGTGAACTGCAGAGGAAATATAGAATAAAGCATCATCATGGCAAACTTTTGTTTCTCCTTTTCTGTGGACAAATGCTCAAGCATACAGTTAGTTACAAATGCAATGTTATCATTTTCAGAACCCAGAATTGATAGAAAAGGCAGACCAAGAATGCCTGATTCGGGTAAGTAAATAATGTATTTGTACATGTCTGTCTACATTGGGGAATGGCAAGGTAATATAGTCTTGATTATCCACACAGATAGAGAACCATTTTCAATTATAGTCAAACCTACCCTAGAACACCACTCTGGGGGCCAGAAAATCCAGTCTATTTGGACAGGTGGTCTTCTTAAAGAGAAAAGCATGACAGATACAAATGTACAAAGTGGTTTCCAAGTTCAGGTGTTTTGAATGTTTAAATGTGATGAAAAATGGATGAAAAATGTGGTGATTTGACAGTATAACTAGTAGCATATTACATATACGATGTCTAAATTATATTATACATATCAACAGTGAATAATATTGCATGAAAATTGTTGCAACCATTTTGGAAAATTTCTTGTCATAATGTGTTGCTTGGTTTGCTTGAATATGTGGTCAGTTAGGCAGATTTGACTGTACTAAAATTTGATATGTTGTCCCAGTGTACTGTGAAACATTTTACAAGACATAAACACCAACCTCTGCACTATGGTCTATCCTTGTTTCCTAGAATGTTGAATAAGTAAACCAGAACAACTTGATGGATTTGTAGATGCTACATCATACAAAGGTTAAATGAACCTTACTGTAGTCTGAAGCTGAGGATGTGGTTATATCTGCACATCTCATAACTTTGTACTTATTTGTACATCTTCCCTAGTCAGTTCAATTTTGATAGATCATATTACCGTGGCTTCTGCTGAAGAAGCAGAATTGTAAGGTTTGTAGCTGGAATTTGCAGAGCCATATCAGGCTTGTGGTGCAGTCACGATTCCCAAGCCCTGTTAAGCCCTTCTTCATGTGAAATGCCTTGGGCCTTTCCTGCGAAGTATTTCATACATGTTGGAGTCATTCATCCATTATAACTCCGAGGCAAGTCAACATAAAAGACTTCACCTGTCGTCTCGTAAAGCGGACTTAATGCCTGGTTAGAATAAACTAGCAGGTAGTCGGTTCAGGGTAGAAGAGAGACCATGAGGGACCTTTACCAGACATGGTGACAGTAAAACCTTTGTGTACCCTTCAAGCATGCATGGATCTGTCCTGGATCAGATCAATGTCATCTGTTACATATGCTTTCTGAAGAGTGCTGAAATCTTTGGAGACAGGACAACATGATTATGTATCCAGCAATGTTCATTAAAAAAGAATCCAAATGTTGATTGACAAAAAACAAGCATCAGTAAGAATGAATGAGAGGATATTTGCTCCTGAAAAACAACTTTGAAATGCAAGATCTGAGAATTTGGCCTCCGGCCTTGACTGTCCACAATATACGGTAAATAAAACATAATGAGAAACATTCTACCGGCCACGCTTTTAGTAACTACTTAATAACATTATGCAAGCCAAAAATACAAAGGCGGACCGTTTTGGAACTCGTGAGAAGAATAACAGATCAACCCTTTCCCTGAGGGTGTTCTCTTTGATAGAGTGGCCATGATTCAGTGGTTATTTGGATCTGCTTGAGCTGTGGAGAGCAGCAGATTAATTTGGCAAGGCCCCAGCTCACGACTCCAACCAGCAGGGAGGCTGCAGTGTTGCCCCGGGGTTTTTTAACATCCCATTATTGATTCATCTCTGCGCTAAGTGGGCCTAAATGTGGAGTAAGGTTGAAATGTTTGAGGAAAAGCAACAAGAGAATCTGTTGAAAAAAAATTGAGAAGTAAGATTAAGATTTAGTTGCCTTTTTATGTACCATGGATGAATCATGAAATTTGGTTGCTATTTGCATCATTGTTTATTGCTAGCAATAACTGATTTATGCAAAAATGCAGAATTAAGAAATAGAAAATTCCAGAAATATGGCATTGAAAAATACAGGATTCTAAAAATGAAAGGTATTTGATATGATATGAAAAATCATTGATGGAAGGCCCTTATTAAATGTTAAACAAAGATCATGTTGATAATAGCTAGCCTGTAACTAACAGTAGTTAACTCAATAACCATTATGTTTCTGAAGGTTTGTAGGCTGCTGAATGTTCATGTGTTATTCTGATAACGACTGGCAGGGAAGACTGAACAGGTGTTAGGAATAGATAGGAAGGCTGTCTGGCTTGGTGCTAACAGTTGTGTCATGCATGTTTTATGGGCCCCTGTGATTTACAGTTGTGCGTGCCCAGAAATTTGATGTGGAAGTTAATAGGCCTCCCTGAACATGAACTTATATGGAAGCAGAAGTAGCTTTACAAGCCATTTCCATCTGGGGGAAATTGACAGCTTTCTCTCTTTGTAGGAAAGTGGATAATAGGCTGCTTCATGTCCGTCTGTAGCCTTTTATTTTGAGTGGCTTTTAAGGGTGGGTCCATTCAGTTGTGTCCTTTTTGAGGGAGGCTATATGTAGGCGTGTAGATGCATCAAGCAAGTTACATAAGCAACACAACTCACTCACACAGAGGGAAATGCAAGCAATCCACAAGATTTTGTGACAGGATGTTGCATAAGTGTCACTAAAATACACATACTCTGCTATTAAGATGACTTAGAGGTTGAATATCGCCTTGAGTCTATGTACATCAATTTCTAAAATAACAAAAAATCTGAGGTTTAACCTCCGGGACGTATGTAATTTTCGCATACTTATCACCCAACTAATGTATAACCCATCCGTCGTATAGTCTTATATTATACCATTTATAACATAATACAATATAGCAATATAATTGTGTGCAATTCATTTTTTCATGGTGAAGACTTGTTTGTCACAAGATGGTAAAATGTCAGGAAAAACAACATCTGCGACATGTTTTATAATCAAGCAGCATCACATCAAAGCTACATGGGCGTTTGTTTTCAGTAAAAGAGGCAGTCAGTTGCTGCTGCTGAATCTAATGGAATATACAGATAAAAGCTTGCGATATCATGACATCGGCCTTTGACATTTTGCTCATTCACAGCATGTGGCAAAAACAACTACAGCCCAATGAAGTGTTATTCAAACTAGATTTGAAAACAGTGTGTTTTGTCTTACTTGTAATTTTTTGCTATCAGAAAGTATCTGACTTCTTCATTGATCTGATAAAGCCATCAATGATATTGGTAATGATAAAGTTCTTTGTCTTTCTGAAAAGGGCAAAGGGGACGGTGGCTATCAGTAGATATTGGTAAGAAGAATGTAAGCCATTATGAAGACATGGAAGGGCAGTTGGCTTAGATTGGGGCAGGTTATCATCAGGTGTCTGACTAACAGGAACAAGATACTGTACACAATGTAGATTCATTTAATTTTGCAGGGAATAAATTGCACAATTTGGAGGAAAAGGAGGTGTTGCTAAAGGTTTGCAGTGGAGACACAAAAGTACATTACTGAACAAATGTTTGCATGGTGATGATGTCACCATTGTGAGGTCACTGAACATCACATGAATACAAAAGTGTATTTTCAAGATTTACAGTAGTCATTTTCTTGTCCCTTCATCACAGCACATGGCACCCCTGCTCGAGGATAACCAACCCTCCATCGAGATAGCTGAGTTCTTCAGTAAGGTACGCACATGCACAAGCCATTGTTAGGAATGACAGCACCACATGCTACCTTCTCTATTTTTAACTCATCTATCTTCTTGTCAACACGTGTAAGTACAGGATGCAGTACTTGAACCAAGACTTCACTTCATAATTGGATCACATAGTCCCTTCCATTGAAGTTTTTTGAATGCCAATCATATTTCTGTAAAATAATGATATCGTCTTGTGTAGATAGATGGAGAGCAAAAAAAATGCAAATCTTAATTTGTCAGGACTTTGTGGATTTTACTGGTATCACATGAAGGTCTTGTTTCATTATGATCTTCCAATAATTTTCTTGTGTCTCCAGATTTGCCGTGACTCACCCCGTTCAGAGATTGTCACCAGTATCTTCACACCCATCATCCAACGCATCCTGAAGCACACTTCGGTAAGGACCCGCCACCAGGTTTTGATGACTCTGTACACGTCTTCAATGTTTTGTCCATGTTGCTTGCCATATCATGCTGTTGATTAACCCAGTACTTGATGTCTTCAGCAGTAAGCAATTAACCTTCTTATCACGCCTGTGATAGTTATTTATACGTCCTTTTTATCTCAACTTAAGATATTTTTGCTGACCTTCATGATATGATTGATTATTGTATGAATCTGCCATAAATTGAATTATAGAGTAAATATTATATGCTGCTAGAAATTGCTGTTGGTTGTACACATTTTTTGATGATTGCTTTTCTTTATGTCTAGGACTTTGGAAAGTTCCCTCGACTGCGGATGTTTGTCCAGGACTACATCTTAGCTCTGAACTCACAGAACGATGGAACCACTTCAGTCAAGGCGTTCATCAAAAGGTAGCAACATCTGCTGTTGATGGGGAGTATCTTAAGATGGGCACATCTAAACATAATGCAATGTTTTATCTTTGGCCAGCACATCACATAAAGCATTTTCTACACCAAGGTAAAACAATAATGTGATGAAGACTATGTAAAGGAAACTGACAGTCTGTGTGTTTGTTGCAGCATGCATGGCCCTGCCAGTGCGTGTCCCCACCACCGGGTACTGTACAACCTGGTGTCAGTCTGCCTGGCAGCCATCTACTCATGCTTCGAGGACGGTGTATATCAGTAAGTTCACCTTCAGTTTTACTTGGGAAGTAATCTCAGTCTTGATTGCAGATAGACTTAGTCTTCAGCTGTGTTTGAATGATGACTGTAATCAGAAACATCATTTGACCCCTTCCTTCTCCCCTTTATTCCTGAACCTCTCCATCATTTTCAAAAACAGATACATTTCAACAAACCATTTGACTGTCTCTTGTCACGTGACAAGAGAACTCCAAGACGAGATCTTACCAAGTTGACGAAGGGACAGAGTGTGTCTCGAAAGCTCCCCAAAGTAGCTAGTATTTATTGTGTGCTAATTGCGTTCCAAATTTCAGTTTGTTGTCTACATTGTTGTTTAGCAGTTTTGTACAGTATCACCAGGTCAAAACTGTTTGCAGTAACTGTTGCAAAGAAATAATAATCAATAAGTTGAATTGTGTAATAATGTGATTGAGAGTTTGGTAGCATATGTTGTTACTAGATTGTTCTTACTAGATTGTTACTAGATGCCAAGTTGAATGCATCTTAATAACTTAAGTCTTAACTGTTTCCACCCAAACAGAACAGGTCTTAGTCTGTCATATTATACCGATAGCTGTAGTTTGTACTGACTCTAATCTTTATTCATGTACTTGATGTCCTTCTGTCTCTTGCTTGTCTGATCAGTGGTTGGCTGTGGCTGTGTCGTGAACCGTGTTAGGTGGTCTCCGGTACAACCATGGCAAATTTGCTTAACTTCACCTGCTTACATTTCTTGCTCCCCTTCTTAAGTTTCAACTTCGGTGTCCATCACAGCACAATCCCTGAGCACAAGACGACACCGTCCTCCACGAGTAGCTCCATGTCCAGCCTGGAGAGCAGCGACCAAACCCCGGGCAGCGACAGGAAGACGACCTTCAACACCCGCGCCTGTTACCCCGGCGACACCAGCCCCAAGTACACGCCCGACGAGAAGAGGAAAATCTACGGGCCCAACATCATGAGTTCAGTGGACAGTTTGGTGGACAACGGAAAGGCCTTTGGAGTGTTGAACAATGAACTGTACAAGTCCCACGGAGCTGAAGGAAGAGTAAACGGGCACTGCAGAGAAGACTCAAACATGGACAGTTCAGTAGAATCTGTGAACTCGCAGGGGACCAAGAGCGATGTGGCAGTAAACGAGGTGAAACTACGCATGGACTACAATGATCTTGGGGCCACTGGATACACAATTGGTACGAGGCCAAAAAGACCAAACGTGGACATAGACGGAAACCTGCACTTCAGCCCAAAGTTGCAATACCCTCAGAAAATGGTGCCTGTCACGGGACTCGGTGGAAAGAATGGAGTGTTACGGGTCAAGTCGCTTCTCATAACTGACAAGGTCATGGCGGAGAGAGTCACACGGTGCTTTGTCACCATTCTGGAGGAAATGTGAGTTAAGCCAAGCATTCCTCTATTGTTTTTAGAATTTCTAATTCTCCTGACATTCTGTATCATTTTGTGAAAATTTGTTTTATTGAGAATGTTAGTCAATACAGGATGAAGCATGATGAGCACTGTAATATTGTTTCAGGTCTACATATGAAGACTGGAGACCAGGCCTTGCTATGTTGTTGCATCCAATTCCATTCCCCAAGGGGTAGGTGCTGCATTTGTACTTTTGTTGTATTAGCCTGTTGTAGTTTATTTTTACTTCTGAATAAAGTGATAAACTTTGTCAGGTCCTTTTGGATGAGAAAGGGAACACATCATAGAAATGTTTGATACTTTTTTGTAGTGTGCTTATTTTGTATGGATAATAATGTCACATAATTTTTTTATTCATAACTCATGTTTGTAATATGTCTTTTGTTTTGTATTTTCAGGGCACTCACAAATGATACTTTTGCAAAGTAAGTATAACAAGTCGTCATCATTATTATAACAAGTATGTTTGTGCAGAATGTCATGTATGGTATTATGCAGTTTTTAATTCATAATGCCATGTAAATAACAAAAATCAGAACACAGGGCATTACATATAGTCGAAAAGCAAAATATAAGTTAGTTAGGATGGAAGTATATATGTATAGTGCAGTGTAAAAATTACTTAACTACTTTGAAGAAGATTGAGTTTTTTCTCTGTGTGCGTAAAACCCTAGTCTCTTACACTCATGCACACACTTAATTTTTTGCATGTTATTAATGTGAGTGTCTAATGAACCGTAGAAAATGAGATCAAGCATCATATATTGCATTATTAATCGGAGATGACGATGATAATTACATTACTTGGAAGATTGAATTGATATGTACTAGGGCTGCGGACCGGTACACTGTACCGGTCCAATACCGTAAAAATCGTTTCGGTACAGGTCCAAAATACCGGATCATGAAGTAACGAGTATATACCGAAATAGCTAGTTTACACCATGTATATGACTAAAGATAGGTAAATCCTACCACAAAGACGAAAAATTAGCACTGGAAAAGACGTAAACACCGTCGATTGATTTGAGATCCTCAGTCTCACGAGACATCGCGAGAGTGTGGCTGATCCAGGGTTGTGATTGGAAGATACTGACAAGTTGTCAACACTTTATTATTGTTTCTGTGTCATGATTGAAAAAGTGAAGAACACGTGTTAATTTGTCAAATTGTTCAGGTACAGGTACAGGTCCGGACCTGTACCTAAACCTCTGTA